CTATTGTTCTTGGGGATGAATTGCACGACCACCAAAATGCAAAGGATGCTTTTTAAGTTGATGAAGAACTCAGGAGGGCTTTGGAAATGTGAATGGGCTAAACAGGTGGGTGGCAAGGATGAGACTTTGTTTACCGTTTTCTTTTCAGAATAGGGAGTAGAGTTCACAACCAAGATGGAATAATTCTTTAAAAATTAAGTATACAGAATAATAAATCAGCTCCATCAAAGTTTCAGGTCGATAATGGCAGAAAATGTTCAGAGTAAAGGACATGGTGAACCCACAGATGTCTTTACCACAGAGCCACCTTCTGATTACAAAGAAGGCACCAGAATGTCAAACTTCTTTAATTATGTTTTTGTTTAAACTTTCCCTAAAGTTTTGTATTGCTTTTTCACACATAATTGTTCAAAGAGTACTGTTGCATTCTTTACAATTTATTTTGTGTTCATGAGGGATTGGATTCTTTGCAGCTAATGGCACGGTTTTTCACCTCAGTTTCTTCTTAGGCAATGCTGTATTTTATTGTTCATGGAAAAGTTAAAAAAGCCTCTCTGAAGAACCAGCACCTTCCCGTGGTAGAGAGGTTTGTGTGCCCTGATGAACCTGGGGGCTGTGTTGTCTGGAACCTTGTGTTCCTGGTAGGGTCTCAGGCAAATTGGTCTCAGGCAAGGGGCCAGACTAAGATTGGTTCAAAAGACCAACAAAGAAGCCCGGGGTCCCCTTCTGGAGCCAGGCCCATCTTTCTTACATTATTCGTGTACAACTTTTAAATCTGATTCTTACTTTTAGAGATATTAAACATTGTTCAGACCTTGGTAAAGAGGCCTTCTTCAGATTTTAGAGTGCGTGATGTCACAGCTAGAGTGGAGGACAGATTTCATTTTGCCTTCATATTTTCTTTTAAACCTGCCATAATTCCCAAACCCTACATTCCTGAGACATAATTTCTCATGGCAAACGTAGGAAAACATCTCGTAGCTTGAAAGATTGAACAAAATGCCTCTTGAGGGCATGAAGTGACAAAAACTTTCAACATGTCTCCATTAAACCCCATTGTAAATTCAGCCTCATCGTTCCCCACCACAGCAGCCGCCAGGCTTGGAATTTCGTCATTTTAGGGGCAAGGCCATTTGGCCTTCCCGTTCACATTTTTTTTAAGGGCACAAAGGCCACATGACAGGGCACAAAGGCCGTTTGGTTAAATTACGCTGGTCAATCAACATGACTGAAAAGTGTAGCACTAACGTCAACACCAGTCGTTTTACAAATGGCTGAATAGCAATAGTGTTTCTTTAACGTATACGTTAAGTTCAGCCATAAACCACATAAGTCAGTCATGTATTATATCAAAACCGCTTAGCAAGAAAAATACTAGATTCAAAGGTGACAGTTATCTGCTAGCTTGTAGAAGCAACACTAGATGTAGACCCCTTGAAGGGAAGACGTTAGCGCTATCCAAACTAGCTAGCTATCGCTAGTTTTCATGACAAAATGTAACGAGTCAACTTTAAATAGGCTAATACAATGGTAATTACCTATCAATAGTACTTTCTATAAACACGTAAATGTTAAGTCCTTTCAAATACTACCACATACTTCAGTTAAATCATATCAAAACGGCTTGGTCCGCTTGCTTACCTGTGCTTGTCTTGCTCCCGCGGCTGAGGAGGAGGCTGTCGGGCCCCTACAGGCATTTCTGACGGAACAATCACAGCAGAGCAATCGCTCTGATCCACAGGGCACAGGCATCGCCCGGGACTATCCTACTGCGCGCACTAATATGACTTTACTAGCGTTGTTTACACTGGAACTTTTGACAGGGGCACCAAGGCCACTTTGGCCGTGAATTGCATTTTTTTTCACAGGGCATCACGGCCAAAGTGCGGGGCAACGACGGCCATGGCCGTCGTGGCCGTCGTGAAATTCCCACCCTGGCAGCCGCACACCTTTAGTTAATCTGCCAAAAAGGCCACATTATTAACACGAAAGTACACAACAAGTACACTTCAGATGCTCAAGTTCCTTGACATGCTTCACGTTTTGAAATTTCACCGATATCTGTTACGGTTCTTCAAAAAAACGTTCACATGTAACAGGTTTATTTCTCATTCAGAACAATGAAAATGCTTTCCTCTCACTAATCACCATGGAAACCTTTGATCTCTGGACACGTCGTTAGCTCAAATATAAACACCTGTGTCATGGAACACGATGATGTCATAACTCCAATTGACATAATTAGAGCAGCAGACTAATGACGTGGTCCCTGGAGTTTAACAGACTGTCTCAGCCTATTATTTCCCGTCTGATGGAGACTTCATACTGACTTCAACATGTTCCACATATTTTAGACATTATTGGTGACGTATGCTTTTAGTTCTAAAGTTTTCTGTTCAAATATTCTGCTGCTTTTTCATGCATTTAGAGCTCTGGCATACTGTATGTGGGCCGTGGACTTTCACAGTGCCGCTGCGCCGGTACCCACCAGTGGGGCTGTATCCAGATTGATGCAAAACAAGTGACATTTGACCTTTTTAGAGAGATTTAGAAAAGAACACTCACTTCTGGGGTCATTTGGTTGCATTTTCCATATCTCTGGCCCCCATCGGTCGATTTTGATGATTGACATCTCTTTTTAACCGTTAGAGCCAATAAAATCGAGGGGAAGTTCCTAAAATCCATCTAAACCTTACTCGTTGGTGAATGAGTGATGCGTAGCCAGAATGCCCCGGAACCGGAAGCTGTCATACACTCAGTAGCTATCGTAGCAGCTAATATGAAATCTCCGTTATTGACATAAAAATGGAATGATGGATTATCAGTAATCATTTCAAAGTGACACAGACACATTGGATTAACCTATGGATTACCTTTCAGCAGCGTTTATTGTTTTAATGCCATTGAACACAAGTTTTGATCAGAAAACAACAAAGTTAAGACGCTTTTAGCCGTTTTGGCTTTTGTTGTTGTCGTTTCGCTGCGAGTTCTGATCGCTTAGTGATGATACTTATTTGTCTGGAATCTGTGGAATATCAGCTTGCTAATCGATATCTTTTTTCTGCAAATATGATAAGTAAAAAGGGTATTTTAACGTGAGTTCTGTGCTATGTGTGTTAGCATTCTTTCGCTCAGGGCTAATTCTGAGCCTTTGTTATGGCCCTTATGTTTCGTTTTGCTAAAAATTGTTAATATTGTCTGTTAGCTGAGTTTCTTCCTGTTAAGTGGATATGACACATTCATAGTTTATTAAATGTTAAGAAGCCCTCAGACGCTGTTTCTTGCAAGATGTTACGTTTTGCCTCCGCCCGCGGGGCCGTGGGGTTTAACTGGTTAAAGTTTCCTCTTTGGAATCCATCGATCTGATTGATTATTAGCGGAGCAAATGATCAAAATACTACGGAGGGAAGATATTTTCGTTTGGATTACTGGTCTGGGGGAAGCTTGCGAGTGTGTATATATGTGTGTGTAGTGCTGCGTACCGGTACGCCAAACCGGTATTGGACTTGTAAAAAGTTTCGGTTCAAGTCCGGTTAAAACCGGAACGTCGGGAACCGGTACTTGGACTCGCAAAAAAACTAGCACTTACGTATATTCTGGTGTCTGTGGTTATTTAAACATTCCCTGATAAACGTTATTCAGCGTGAATAAATGAGTGCTAATCCCAGTGCGCTCAGTGTACAACATCACATGTCATTTCACCTTCGATTCACAGTTTGAAAACATAGCATTTCGCCACATGCTAATGCTAACCGGAAGTCAATCAATCAATCAATCAATCAATGTTTATTTATATAGCCCAATATCACAAATGTTACATTTGTCTCAGTGGACTTTACAGTTTGTACAAAATATCAGTATGACAATACGACACCCTCTGTCCTTAGACCCTCACATCGTACAAGGAAAGTGAATAATTTTCAGAATAAAAGTATTAAGTTAATTGTGGGAACTTCCGTTTTTTTCAGAATAAAACTGATTTAAATTAAATAGTGTATTTAATTCAAAATTACGCCATATCAACATTGATTTTAATTTCTAACACTATGTATGTACATCACTATGTATGTAGTATGTACTGTATAATGTACACATGTAGAGTTGTAGAAAATACATGGTGTACAGACAGTACAGTACACTCTGACTGTACAGTCACTACAGTGTAGTGGACTCAGGGACTGTTTGGTTACTTTAGTTTGGTAAATGAAATAAATGTTTGAACTGTGTAGTAGTTCACTGTAGTTGCTGTCATAAGTTATTTGTAGACTAAGTGGCAAAAAGTGTTTTTTTTACATTTGTACTTTGTAGAGAAATGTAGACACAAGTTGGAAGGGAGCACAATACACCTGACGAGTTTGAATTTGAGTTGATTATGAGTTAATTTTCAATTGATAATTAGCTCACAATAAGTTCACTTTACACTCTTAAAAATGCTGGGATTATTTCTATAAACACATTGCTGGGTTGATTTGGCTGGGTCATAATTATGGGTTATTTGGGTACTGTAAACACACTGGTGGGTTGTTCATGCTGGGTCAAAGGGGTTATTAGGGCTTCAATTGCAGTTGAACACCCGCCTGGGTTATTTTTAACCCAGAGGTTGCTTTATTCATTTTCCCACTTCTGAATCATTCTGGAATCATCTTTTCAACATGTAACCTATATTTTACCTATATTTATATAATTATACAATTCTGTAACCTATATTTTTTTAATGAGTTGTGATAACAGTTCAATAGGGATCTGTAGGCATTTATCTGATCTGTGCAAAGTATAACATTAGCAGTTAACGTCGGCTACAAATGTTTTACATTTCTGTCAATGAGTGAAAGAGCCTTGAATTTACGTTGTGATGCGATGAATTATTATTTTACAAAGACGTGTGTTCTACTAGTAGCTATAAATGGGTCTGAACTATAGCTTTGGATTTGTGTGCAAAAGTATTAGATGTACAATAAGGCAGTATAAATCAGATGGCTTTTACGTCACAACTCTTTCCCAGCATGCAGCTCGGGCGCGGGCTTTCACACATACGGACAGACAGACGACAAAGAAGCTCATTGATGTAGGTAAGTTTAGGTTACTAGAGTTATTTATTAATTACATTAATCATTAAAGTTAGCAACTATTGAAGTTATTTTTAGGAGTGAGTGACCGGAGTCACCGAATCACATAATGTAACATTTTAGTTCCCTGCCATCGACGTGTTACCATAGCTTAGCTTAGCTTAGCATAGCACACCAACCAGCTAGGTCGTGTCAGGGGCAAATAATAATAATTCGTGAATGATTAAAATGTCTTCATGGAGAGATTTGGCAGACCCCCTGTAGTAACTGTACATTAGTAGCTTGGTACCTTACAATACATGTTAAAACATTGCACAGTTTTGTGAAATTCTAATGTACTTAATCTGATTTGATTCTAGTAGAGGGTTTCACCATGGACACGTTTGTCACAGAGACGTTGACTGCATGGCAGCTTGAGAACTTGATTGACACATTTAAAGGTAAGTTAATTTGTATTGAGACAATGTTGAGATGTTACTATTAAATATTTTGTTATATATTAAAAAGAGCAAGGTATCGCTGCAACAAACAACTAATTTGATAATCGATTAATCTATCGATTAATGAAACGATTAATCGACTATTCGGACTATTACTGTGCCTTGCACAATTTCTCAAACGCTCTTATTTAGCCATCAACTTTTAGATGTAGCTTGAGGTTGTTCTAGGCATGTGGAAACTAACAAGACAATAAAGATGAATACTTGATTCAAAAATACATATATTATTAAATTAACTAAACACGTTTTGAACAAAATTAACATTGCTTTTAATTTAAATTAAATAAATAATATTTCACATCAAAAGAAACAACAGTGTTTTAACAAATGGTATTAAATAATGTGATGACAGAACTGTAAACAGAATAGGTGAAACTTTAACAAACTAAATAACTCAGTTTCCTCTAATAAATAAAATAGCTTTTAAAAATGTGCATCTTAAAAGTGCTTAATTTTAGATAAATAAAATAAAGTGTAGCAGCAGCTTGAGTTTCTCTTTTTCTTTGTTAACCGTTTCACATCATGACTTAACTGTTTCAGACGATTATAGAACAATATCAGTCTTTACACATCATAACAATTAAACAGTTTTAAAGTTTCTCTTTCTTTCCCTCTTATATTGCAGTCCCTCACTCACTTTTTTTAAATTCAGTGTGAGAATTGAGCTGGAGCTTGTCCTACCAGGAGTTTGTAAATCTGGGCTGACATGGAGTCAGGGCCATTCTCATACACATGCAGGTGCTCATTGGTTACAGTGATGCAAACACAGGTAGGTGAAAAAAGAGAGAACTATTCGAAGCAGGAAAAAAACAGCGTAATATACCATCTGACAAAGGCCTGTGCTATAATGCTTCAATTAACTGGCTATTCTTTATAATATACTCAGATCAATAGGAGACAGAGATGTTAAGTCATAAATGAGTGAGCCGCATATGAATTATTCTGTGAACATACACTTTCAAACAGATGAGATAAGAAATGTCAGTAAAGTAAATGTACGATGTTGCTGTCCAACACTGGCTATCACACACCTTCAACAACAACCAAGGAGTGCATGCGGTGAACAGCAGAACTCAAATGCACTTTAAAAGCGCATCACAATTCAGTGTTTAATTCATGGATTTGAATCGTCATATATTTGTAACAATGATTACTGTCTCATCTCATCGTTCTTTGACAAACTTCTACTGTCTATTTTAACAGGCCATCCACAGACACAAAGAAAGCCCTTGCCGTGGCATTGGTGTATGAATTCCCTTGCCTTTTGGATGGTACAGGCAGTGGCTATGTAAGTTAATCAATCAACACATAAAGGAGAACACTCCATACACACACACCTAAAATAAATGTGCTCAAACGTTTTTCCTAGTGCACAGTCACACGCACATTTTTGGATTGCTCCTTAAAATCCCATGTAACCATCTTCATGGTTTACGCCAGGCCAATTTAATCTGAATCTAATTTTCTCTTTTACAGGGAGCTTGGTACACACCTGGCCGAAATCACAAACCTGCTACAGGTTTCCTGGAGGAGCGCTTGAGGAACGTCAGGAAGCACATGAGAATGCTGAAACGACCACGCCACCAAGAACAACAGAAGGAACAGACCGTCCCCTAGTACACCAGGTAATACTAATAACCAATATTAATTATCCCCGCCAGGCTAGAATGGACAAATGCAAGGGATTATATTTTAGGTCCCATGACTCTTCTGTTCATCCATCTTCTAAAAGCTAGTCTCAGGCACCGCTGGACCGATTGGCGACTTTTCACACACTCTCCCAAGTAGGCCAGAACCCCAAATGTTTGAAATCAGCTATAATGAATCTGAGGACCTCTGTACTTATCATTCAACAGAATATGATGTGCCTCCTGAAAAACTTCTAGAAATGGTTGAATGGATGAAGGTCAATAGGTATCCAGTGTCCCAAGTTGAGGACTACATGAATCAAACAGCTCTACATAGAGGCAAGTGGATTCGCAGCAATGGATCTAAAAGCCTCCCGGAAATCTTGACTGAGTTCCCTAGGCTTTTAGACAATCCTGGCATGGTAAGAAATTATTTTGCTATTGCGGTTTTGTCTATTTGAATGATACTCTATTTGTGTTAGGATTTGAAGTAAGGCAGGACCCAAATGCAGATTGAGGAAAAGCGGGTTTCAAAGTGTAACAAAAGGCGAGCTTTAATTACAAAAAGTTGTTGACAATGAAAAAACAAAACAAAACCATGAATCCATAAACAGGTAGCACAAGGTAGCATCCAGCCAAAAACGACAGTGACAAACATGGAGGGTGACAGGAAAGACAATGAACCGACAAGGAACACACGAGAAGACAAGACTAAATTGTATTGTCATACTGATATTCTGTACAAACTGTGAAGTCCACTGAGACAAATGTAACATTTGTGATATTGGGCTATATAAATAAACATTGATTGATTGACTAAATACAAAGAGGGGTAATCACAGGGCAAGACACAGGGAGGGAATGCAGAAACACAAAGGCAATAGGTGAACACAATCAGACACAGGAGGGAAAACACAGGAAGGAAGAAAAGACACAGGTGAGGAGGGAGGAGAAAACACAGAGGCACAAGGTGAACACAATTGGGTTATCAGGCAGGAGGGAACACAGAGACAGGAAGCAACAGACAAGACGGGGGGGGGGGTGAACACTTTTCAAAATAAAACAGGAAACCAAAAACAGATCTAGACAAGACAAAACACAACACAGACAGATCGTGACAATTTGACTGATACTCTGCAATGCACTACAAGTTTATGTTTAACCACTTAGACCCTACAGTATATACTTTGTAATAATTTAATAATTTACCTGTTGAAGTGACACTGGCTGTCAAATTGTCCCCTAACCCTTTTCCTAACAGGTACTACAAGCCCATATCATTTCTTTAAACACTGTTCTATTGTTTTTCATGTTTTTCAAAATGTATCAGATATCACAAGACTTCCAGCAGCTTCATCCAGAGGCAGTAGGAAAACTGTTTCAGAACTGGGCTACTATGAGTGACCAAATCCTTACATATGCCCAGCGAGAGGGAAAACTGCCCTTGGTGTTTGATGACATGACACCAGATAAGCTATTTCTTACTATGTAACACACACACACCGGTTCTTTGAAAATAGCAGATGTACATGCTTGCATTGCGTCCCAATGAGACTCGTTGTGAGCTTGTGGATCTGCAATTTTTTTATATTTTAACAATCATCTGTATGGGGTCCCTTGCACAACATGTTTTCGGATGGGAGTCTGTTGACAAATACATAAATACATGAACAAGTTTGTGAACCACTTCATTAGATACCTTTTGTCTTTCTTTGATTCCTGCTCCCCCCCTTCCTTTTCTTTCTCTTTCTGGAAACAATCAAAACGATGGAGCTTGCACAAAAACAAATGTCACCCACTGTTTTACACCTGTAAACCCGTGATGTGACAATAAAGATTCAGATTCTGATAAGATGTCACAACACTTCCTGTGATTATAATAGGCTATACAATTCACGCCTTGTTTTTACCATTCAACACCAGGGCAGAAAAGTCTATTGGTTCAGAAATATCAATCTTTATATACTATTTAAATGTTGATGTTAATATGTATTTTTCTTATATTGCGTAGACCGAGCTTTGAAAGTCCTGCCGATTCTGCTTCCTCCATCGGTCTACAGGATTGGAGGAAAAGTCCACAGACCCACCATAGAGGAGTCCTGCAAGTCCTTCATTAATATCCAACCAGTAAGTTTTACTTTTGTTTTTCTACTTCAATAATGGTGGGTGTTTCTGTGTTTATATACTAGCATTTTCATACTTCAATAAAAAAGATAATAAAAACAACATGCTTAACTTAAATGGCAGGTTATATTGCAAGTAACTGTTGTGTAATTAACAGGTGGGCACCAACATGGTACAGTACCTACAGACAGCAGAGAGAACTCAACCCTTCCCGCACATCTTGTGTCTTGGTGATGACACAACAACATGCCAGACCTTCACCATTGTGTCAGACAACGCCATTGAAACGGACACTTTTCTGGGTGCAGTAGATCTGTGTTTTAAGGCTTTCTTTGTGTTTGACCTCAATTACACAAAGCAGTGTCTCCCCACCTGGGAGTTTATCCAACAGGCAGTATATAACATTGATGGACATGAATCCTCAAATGTCAAATTTATGAGGACATCAATTGCAGCTTTGGCCTAAAGGTACACAGAGAGAAGTAGCCTTTTAGTGATGTGTGTCAAACAAGTTGACAGCTGCTCTCTAAAAATATGATTGACACAAAACATGATTGCAGAAGACAGTAGGCACACACTTTAATTGTGTCAAAACATTGACCCGCATTTACAGTACCTACTATTCCTGTTAATTCATTTATTTTAATTTGATTTTTCTTACTTTACGTGATTTAATTTACTTATTATTTAATTTACTTCATTTATTTATTTACCTTGTTATGTTTGTGTCTGTATATAGTTTCTGCTGGGCAGAGAAATGTTTTATCTCTATATTTAAACATGTTCATGTTATTTAAACCTGAAAGAGAAGTTGGTCCAGATAACAGCACTTTGTAATATATCATTTGTTTTAAGGCTCTTTGTTTTTTTTTGGGGGGGGGGGGGTTGAATTTGTATTGTTTGCATTGTTCTTTTATAGTGGCCTGAATGTTGACGATTTGCCAAAGATGTTCAAATTATGAATAAATGCATTTTTATATATATATATATATATATACGGTGTGTTTGGAGATTATTCATTACACTATTATACATTATTATTATATTATATTTAGCCCAACAATATAGTTAATTTTAATCACTAGCTTGGGTCAAATGAACAACCCAATATATGGTTTATATTTATTTAACCCAGTGATGTAGTTAATTTCAATCACTTGCTTGGGTCAAATAAACAACCCAATGTATGGGTTAAAATGATCCAGCCCAGCATATGGGTTAAGACAACCCAGCGCGTGTTCTGTCCTATAGTGATTCAGCAGCTGGGTTATGATTGGGTTATTTTTTAACCCAGTAGTTTTAAGAGTGTAGTTACTCACACAACTTGACACAAGCCATGGGTTGAACCTGAACCTCTGGACTTGAGTCCGGACCTGAACCTGAATGTGAGTCCAGGTACGCAGCACTACGTGTGTGTGTGTGTGTATTTTTGCGTTTGTGTGTATTGTGTTTGTTTCCCGGGGAAAACCCTCACGAGAAACACGGCTGTTGTTATGCCTGCTGTGACGTCAAGTTACTCCGTTCTCCGCTTGTAATTATGCCGAAGCTTCAAAGTTGTGTTTATCATCTGAATTTGCCGAAACAAGTTTAATATTCTGAAAGCCAAGACTTTGTTTATTTGAAAACAGATGAAAACAAACTGTAACGGACCCTGCCGTGTTATCTATGATTACTATACGCTTACCTTCATAATGTCAGCCGGAGGGAGGGGGGGGGGCTGCGTGAGGAACAGCAGAGTGAGAGCTGTCTTCTTCCCTTTACAAGCTTCAAACATGTATTTATCGTGTGATTTTGGAAATAAAAGTTTCATATTCTGAAAGCCAAGACTTTGTTTATTTCAAATCAAACAAAACACCCGAATCCTGAAAAACAATTGTTTTACGCAAATCCACGTTTATTTTGAAATGAGCCGTTGCGACTTCCGACTGATTTCGATAGAGCGGGTCACACAGTAGATTGTAACCTGCAAAAGTGCAGTCGCATAGAAAACGTTATAAAACAATAATAATAATAGATTTATAATCAGGTGAATTCCATGTATCACAATACATGTTTTTTAGGATAGTATTGGACAAATACAACTTGCTAACTGCTGGTAAAGCTAGAGGACAGATCAGGTGTTCATTCATTTTATTAGGATTTCACTAGAATTGACGTTCTGTACGAAATTTCTAGTTAAGATCAACATTCACATGCTTGAATTACTGTTGGGGCTTACATTTATTTCCAATCTGGGTTTAACGCCTCTAACATTAATTTACTGTCACCAGAGAAAACTCAAAAAATGATGCATATGTTCAGAGTTCTATAAAAAATATCTTAATAGTTGTATGCCCATATGTAGGTTGAATGTGTTATTGCAATCTGTTATCTTTTCTACTGCCCATACTGTGTGTTAAGAGATGGGTGACAACATTCACACTCCTTATTTTGTGCAAAAACTGAATGTATAGTTAAAGCTAATATTAGGGTTCAGTCCAAGTCCGCCAAGTCAAGTGGTTATCTTCCAGAGTTTCCGTCGTTGGTCCTAAAGTAGCTAAGGATGAAGGGATGCATGGACTGAAGACTGGATTCTAACCTCCACCGCTTACATTGGACCAGGAGGGAATTCTCCAGGGCCATTAACTAAAGAAGAAACCATTTCTACAAAAACTCTTTCAATGCACATATGGGCAAGCTAATAATGTATGGAGACAGACTTTGACATATCTGAAAATACCCTTTAAATGATTTAATTCTGGGATGTAATACTATCAGATCTGCTTTGTAAGAAATGTTGATATAAATCTCTTTCTAGGTATTTATGTCTACTGATATGTGAGATATTTCTGGAGC